ATTTTGTTATTTTGAAGTAAATATTGCCCTATATAAACATCAAAAAGCACTGATCATTCGGAATCGAAGTATGGCCTTATTTGCAGCATGAATTCGGAAAATAAGTTTATTTTGAATTTTAATAAACTAAACTTTCACCAAAAACTTTAGTGAGAAAAATTGAAAATATATATATATATATATATATATATATATATATATATATATATATATATATATATGTAATATAAATATATATAACGGAGCCCAGCCTTTCATTGTTTTATTGAAAATTTTTACAATTCACTAATTCGTTCTTGTTGTTGATAATGCTTTCGTTTTAATTTTTAGTATTATGAATAATATTGTTATAGTGATTATTGTGATTATTGTTGAAATTATTTTTGTTGTTATCGTTATCAATATTAAGATTACTGTTATTGTTGTTGTAATTAATGATGTTATAGTTGGAGTTATCATAGCCTTTTATTGTATTATTGAAAACTTTTACAATTTTCTAATTTTAGGCTCTGATGATGGCTACCTAGCCGAAACATTGTTTTTAGCCACGATATGACACAAGTTTTTAATAAATATGAATTGCAACAATTACATCAATGTTGACTCAATATCAAAATAATTAATAAATGCAAAATGGGCAAACATATTCAACGAAATTGATATAAATGAAAATCTCGTTCCTGAATATATTACACTTTGGCTCCTAGGTAAACAACAACAACAACAACACCGATACATTTCAATTTTCCAAAAACAACAGAAATTAGCATGTGAGAAGGAATCTTTACATTTTCAACAGTATAATAAACTTCTACACACACTTGCTAACGACTACAATATTAATAACTTCAATAACCTGAAGACAGTCATTGAACATAACACAACAATACTCTTTCAAGAAAAGGATGTCATTGGGACGAAATTGTGGGACCTCAAGAGCTACAAAAACTTCAGCAATATTGTCCTCAGATTGTTTTTCAAGGACCTGTCTCACTTTGTCAACTGCATTAAAGTACGAGTTCCAACGTGTAGCATTAGGCACAATGAAGAAAGTGTGAAACTTATCACGCACAATATCTGCAAATTGTGTGCTACGTGAAGTCTTGTTCCACAATGCAGAACACTTGACCATTGTTGACCGAGAGAGTTTTTTGTAAACAGCATCACTATTTGCACTTTCTATATCATGACTAGCAATCAAATTCAATGTGTGAACAGCACAACGCTGATGAAGGGGTAAATATAAGTCACTGTCCTCATCATGCTCTGGTTCACTTAGCAATGCATCAACATCAACAAAAGCAACATTGTTATCATCATCATCACTAACTACACTACCATCATTTGCAAACTCTTTAAATGCTTTAACAAAGTTCGAACCATTGTCAGTTACTGTCATCAGTACTTTGTGGTTAATACGATACGCCGTATGTACAGCATTTAACCTAACAGCAATGCAATCATACGTGTGACGCCCTTTCATGCGCTCACAGCACAAAGCCGCTGAACGTCTTTCCAGAGTATCAGGATCAATCCAGTGCGCTGTGATGCCTAGAATGCTCCTGTTGTTGGATGACCAGATATCCGCTGTTGTGCACACATGATCGACTTTGCTGAGCGCTGCACAGATGCTTTCCTTCATCGTGTCCGCGAGTTTGTCCAACTTATCTGTAAACAGAAAGACGCGTGTTGCACATTTAGTAGGGTCTTAAGGATCGTATTTACTTTTATTTGACATCGTTCAAAATAAGCAATTAATGTGACGAACCACAAAAAATCATATTATATTATAGAGATTGAACTAACCATTAAGAGTTTTTCTCGACAAAACTTTCTTTGTTGGCTGGAGACCTTGAACAAGCTCGATGAAGGTTTGAGATTCGACGATGCTCATTGGCTCCATATACTCGACAATGAAGTTTGTCACAGCTGATCGACCTTCGCCTGCGAAATTACAGAACTACCAAGTGGGGTGCATATTGTCACAGTTGCTTGTATGCAGACTTTCTTTGTAGGCATGTCGGACACTTAACTAGTAGCCTTCCTCTTCCGGCATTCCTTTACTTTCTCCAAGAC